GGACCCAGAGATCATGACCTGAGCTGAAGGCAGAGGCTTAACCCACTGAGCCACCCAGGCACCTCCCCCAAATAATTATTTATTATTATTATGTTTTTATTTTTTTAATATTTTATTTATTTGACAGAGATAGGCAGAGAGGCAGGCAGAGAGAGAGGAGGAAGCTGGCTCCCCTCAGAGCAGAGAGCCCAATGTGGGGCTCGATCTCAGGACCCTGGGATCATGACCTGAGCTGAAGGCAGAGGCTTTAACCCACTGAGCCACCCAGGCGCCCCTCAAAATAATTATTTTTTAAAAGAATTTTTTTCTGAATGAAAATGTCCTGTTCTGCAACTTCAATTTTTTTTTTTTTTTTACTGTGTCAATATTTTTACTTCTCTTAGCATTCTCCCAACCTACATATAAGCTTAGCATTCTCCCAACCTACATATAAGCTGAAATATCCAAAAAATCTTAGTGGAAAGTAAGTGTTTTTCCCATTTAGACTCCAATTTGTTGCCTCAGAACTAAGTGTAGGTAATGGCTTTCTGTGTATCCTTCCAAAAGTTTTCTTTTTTCTTATCTTTATTATGACATATATCATACTATAGCAATGGATTTTTACTTTATTTTTAAACAAATTTTTATTTATTTTTGAATTCCACTATATTTCAGGTGCATAAGACAGTGATTCAACAGTTCTTTTTTAAGGTTTGACACATCATTTTATTGTACACCATTTTCTATCAAAAAAGAGTATAAGAATAAATACTTAAGTAGCATAGACAATCAGAACAATTAAACAGTAACACAAGAAAGGAAAAATGAATCACAATTCTGAATTGGTCACAACTGCATTTTTTGTTAAAACAAGTTGAGTTAAAATTTTCCAATTTTTGCATATCTTATATAGTGAGTTCCTCTAAAGCAGTCCTTTTTTTTTTTTAAAGATTTTATTTATTTATTTGACAGAGAGAGATCACAAGTAGACAGAGAGGCAGACAGAGAGAGAGGGAGAAGCAGGCGTCCCACTGAGCAGAGAGCCGGATGCGGGGCTCGATCCCAGGACTCTGAGATCATGACCTGAGCCGAAGGCAGAGGCTTTAACCCACTGAGCCACCCAGGCGCCCCTAAAGCAGTCCTTTTTAAAAGTATATATGTATTAATAGGATATTTTAGTCATTTTTTGACTATTTATTTTTATTTATTTATTTTTATTAACATATAATGTATTATTTGTTTCAGGGGTACAGGTCTGTGATTCATCAGTCTTACAAAATACACAGCACTCACCATAACAACATATCCTCCCCAATGTCCATCACCCAGCCACCCCATCCCTTCAACCCCCCCATCCCCCTCCACTGCAGCAACCCTCAGTTTGTTTCCTGAGATTAAGAGTCTCTTATGGTTTGTCTCCCTCTCTGGTTTCTTCTTGTTTCATTTTTTCCTCTCTTCCCCTATGATCCTCCACCTTGTTTCTCAAATTCCACGTAACGGTGAGATCATAAGATAATTGTATTTCTCTGATTGACTTATTTTGCTTAGCATAATACCCTCTAGTTCCAACCACATCATTGTAAATGCGAGATTATAATTTTTTTTTGGTGGTTGCGTAATACTCATACGCGTGCCCATGTGCGCACACACACATGCATACCCCATATCTTCTTTATCCATTTATCTGTTGATGGACATCTGGGCTTTTTCCATAGTTCGGCTATTGTGGACTTTGCTACTATAAACATTGGGGTGTAGGTGCCCCTTTGGATTACATGTGTATCTTTGGGGTAAATACCCAAGTAGTGCAATTGCTGGGTTATAGGGTAGCTCTATTTTCATCTTTTTGAGGAACCTCCATGCTGTTTTCCAGAGTGGCTGCACCAGCTTGCATTCCCACCAACAGTTTAAGAAGGTTCCCCTTTTTCTGCATCCTCACCAACATCTGTAATTTCCTGACATATTAATTTTAGCCCTTCCGACTGGTGTGAGTTGGTATCTCATTGTGGTAGTGATCACCACAGTAAGTGTACTTTTAATCCTCTTCACCTATTTCACTCATTCCTCTACCTTCCACCCCAACCTCCCTTCTGGCAACCACCAGTTTGTTCTGTATATTTTAAGAGTCTGGTTTTTTGTCTCTTTTTTTTCATTGTTCATTTGTTTTGTTTCTTAAATTCCACATATGGGTGAAATCATATAGTATTTGTCTTTGACTGACTTATTTTATTTCATTTAGAATTTTACCCTCTAGATCCACCCATGCAAATGGCAAGATTTCATTCTTTTTTAATGGTGAGTAATATTCCATTGTATACCACATCTTTATCCATTCATCTCTTGTTGAATACTTGAGTTGCTTCTGTATCTTGGCTATTGTAAATAATGCTGCATTAAACACAGAAGTGCATATATCTTTTAGAATTAGTGTAACTTCAATTTTGAATGATAAACCAAACACGAAGTTTCTGGGCATTTTTCCTTATGTACTGCATATATGCTGTGAAATGATTCATATTCTATGCCTCAGTGGTGTCCAACTGTTCAGAAGTACAGGGCTAATATTGCCTTTTCGTGTTGTATACTATGCATGATTTTATGTGGTATTTGATCAGGGATTTTTGCCAGTAGCTTGTTATACTTTTTCCAAGCAAAACATCTGTAGCTAGTTATACAAGCATCACTGAAACAAAAACGAGTTTTGCCATTTTTTTAACCAGGGATGTTACTTGATCTTTTTTTAATCCATAAATTCATTCATTTCATACTGGAAAACATTATTTTACATTCATTCTGGAAAAATACATTTTACAAGGCAATGAGGTTATTATGTTTAGTTCAAAAATGACTTGTAAGCTTTGATGGCTTTTTGAGTCACTGTTTGGCAAAAGTTTCTAATAGCCAAGGTGTAGTGGGCAGTGAACAGATAGATTATTGGTCCAATAAAATCCAATTTTTATTTTTTTTTATTTTTTATTTTTTTAAAGATTTTATTTATTTATTTGACAGAGAGAAATCACAAATAGGCAGAGAGGCAGGCAGAGAGAGAGGAGGAAGCAGGCTCCCTGCTGAGCAGAAAGCCCGATGTGGGGCTCGAACCCAGGACCTGGGATCATGACCTGAGCCGAAGGCAGCGGCTTAACCCACTGAGCCACCCAGGCGCCCCTAAAATCCAATTTTTAGATGCCCATAATTGTATTTTTTCTTCCCTTTTTTTAATTTTATTTTATTTATTTACTTGAGATAGAAAGAGAGTAGCATGAGCCAGGGAGAGGCAGAGAGAGAAGGAGATGCAGGCTCTCCACTGAGCAGGGAGCCTAACATGAGGCTTGATCCCAGGACCCTGAGATCATGACCTGAGCAGAAAGGAAGACACTTAACTGCTTAACCAACAAAGTTATCCAGGTGTCCCACAGATAGTCATAGTTGTATTTTCTATTTACACTTTTATTTATTCATTTATTTATCACTGCTTGGATGAACTTATCATGTAAAGGCACAAAAGTTGCAGTCTATATCTGAACGTCTTGTTTAATAGCTAGCTACCTTTACCACACAATTTTGAATTGAAATTATTTGTTACTTTTTTCATCACTACTTCTTTTGTGTCAGCTTACTCCTCTTTTTTTTTTTTTTTAAGATTTTATTTATTCATCTGACAGGCAGAGATCACAAGTAGACAGAGGCGGGCAGCCAGAGAGAAAGGGAAGCAGGCTCTCTGCCTAGGACCCTGAGATTATGACCTGAGCCAAAGGAAGAGGCTTTAACCCACTGGGCCACCCAGGCGCCCCAGCTAACTTCTTTTGAGTGGGTAATTTTTCTTTTTTGATAAACAGGAAATACAACACAACAAAATAGCAACAAAGTACAAAATAATTTTAACAATGTAAACAATAATATACAATTTATGTTAAAATACCTCAGTAGAGATAAATTGTACTGTTAAATAATGAGAGAAAAGGATCAATGTAATCTTTGTAGTCCATATGTAACCTATAAGAATGTGAATATGCTCAATAGTGTAATGGAATTTGTTAAAATTCGAATTAAATTTATATTAAATAATTTGAGAAATACATGTAAAGGTGGCAGTATCTTGTAGTGTTAAAACTTGTTCCTAGAGTCAGAGTTCTTCAGTTTGCATCGCACGCCATTACTTACCAGTTATCACTTGCTTAATCTCTTTGCTTGTTTTCTTATCTGCAAGATGGAAATAGTAATAGAATCTACATTACGTGTTGTGACGATTAAATGAGTAAACACACAAGGCAGTTTGGGTAGCGTCTGGCCCGAATGTTTAGTGCTTCCTATTATTAAAAGATCTGTTCAGTCCTCATCTTTTCACTTTCCTACTAAAAACCCATCATTATGTCCCTATCATTGACCAAAAGAAGTCATCCCACTCTTCATCAAAATACCTGCTTCATACATTGCCTTCTGTTTTGGCTGTCGGTATCTCCCTCACCTTAAGCGCCCAGATTGTTTTCCACGACTGAATTCCATACCAGGCACTCAAAAAATAATTATTGAGTTTTTTTTTCACCAGGGACAAAGGTCCCGAAAGGAGGATCAAATTCTAGAAAGGATTACAAATCACTGCGTAAAGTTGAAGCATTAGAGCACCTAAAGAGGATTTACTCGTTCGTACAGTTAGTTGTTAGCCGGGGGAATCCACCACCTACCCGAGATTTTTAGTAAAATTTTTTTCACTTACGTCACTCGATCACTGACCTTTGACGCACAGGAGGCGGGATTAGAGAGACAGCTGGACTTCTTTTTTGCCCGCCCTCCTCCAATGGACCGGCGGGCACAGTGGCTAGTCCAACCTCTTGACATTTTCATTGGTCAGTTTCTCAGAGCAGGCGGGCTGAGGGGGGGGGGGACTCCACCCACTCTATGGGCGGGGTCTGTCCTCCGTAGGGGCTGGGGCGGGTGGCGGGGGGGGGGGGGGGGGGGGGGGGGGGGGGGGGGGGGGGGGTTGCCACAGCCGCCATCTTTGATTCCGCGGTAGCGGTGGCGGCAGCGGGGCGCCGCATCTGGGGAGTGGCTCTCCCCTCCCCCTTCCCCGGTTCTGTGGCGGCGACTCCTCCCACTGGGGGGGTGGCGCGACGGCAGTGGCATCTACGGCCATGGCGGCGACTGCTGCTAACCCCGGTGAGTAGACTGAGGACTAGGGCGCCTCTAAAGGAGGAGGGGCTGAAAGGGTTGGCAGCTGAGGAGACCCAGGGCTCCGGGGCAGTAGTTGGGGCTGAGGGCGCTAGGACGAACGGGGGTGGCCAGAGGGTTGTGGGGGATGGGAGGGACGGTTGGGGGGAGGGGCCGACCCTAGGGAACTGGGGAGACCTGAGGTGGAGGGAGGGAGAGGGCTGGAGGGAGTTCCTTAGGGTGAGTTCTGTTGGAGCGGCTCCCCGAGCTGGGCTTGGCCTGCCTCCACTCCCCTGACGGCTTTCTGATGTGTGATGTGGTCCTCTTTCAACTCTGCCCACTGGAGCTGCTTGTTGCAGAATAACTGGGCAGAATGGCTCGTCTTACTTTAAAAGTAATTTGGATTTACAAACACTGAACCATGTTGCTGTTTAGCTGAAGTGTTGCACTTCGAAACGTTTAAACGTTTAAATAAAAATCTTTGAGTATATACTTAGCTTTTCTAGACTGTCGTCGCCCCCCCCTCCCCCGCTATCCTTTGAAACTGGCGTTTTATTAAGTGGCTATAGTGTCTTCAACTGCTGAGGACAGAAGCTTATGTAATGGTTGGTGTTCTGGGCAGATCTTACCAACAGCTAGCATCCAGAACCCGAGGTTTAAATCTTGTTGGTTGTAGATCGAGGCAGTTCCCATTCTTTAAGAAAAGTTCAGGGGGCGCCTGGGTGGCTCAGTAGGTTAAGCGGTTAAACGTCTGTCTTGTCAGGTCGTGATCCCAGGGTCCTGGGATCCAGCCCTAGTCGGGCTTCCTGCTCAGCGGGGAGCCTGCTTCTCCCTCTCCTTGTGCCTGCCACTCCCCCTGCTTGTAGTTCTCTCTGTCAAATAAATAAATAAATAAATAAATAAATAAAATATTTTAAAAAATTAAAGGGTTGAGGGTTCTTTTGAAAGAAGAGTCAGTTTCATGTCATTTTTCAGTGAACATCTCTTCAAAAGGGGGAGCTTGGATATTAAAAAATCTAGCCAGTCATGTCTAAGTAATGGAGTGGAGTGTATTGAGGCAGGTCTAAACAGATCAGGTCTCCAAATTCCTAGCCCCAGTCCTCTTTCCACTATATTACAGTTACTTCTCCCTGAGGAGTTCATTTTAGGGATCCTACTCTACGTTCTTGTGAAATAAAATCCTTTTCCAGAAATCCCTATCTTTGATAGGCTTAAAAAAGAACCCACAAGTTGGGGTTGAATTGCTTGAAAATACAGCAGTGGAAGGGACTCACTGGGGTTCCCATGTTGAAGCTGAAATTGGATTTTTTTTCTATGTCTCTGAAATGAGTATAATTTATGGTACCCAAGTTTTGCTATAACAGTTGAATCCCTATGAAATTTAGTGTCTTTGCTACCCTGTTTCTGGTAACAGAGCTATTTAAGGAATTTAATTAGTCACATGTCAATATATTATAAAATCTTTCAAATTTTTTTAGAGGAAAAGATAAAATTAATGGCTCAGGTTTTATTGCAGGAAGTGCTGATGATGGAATAAAATTGGAAAGATGCTATTATTATGGCAAACCGGGCCTCGTAGTAAAATAACCTATGTGTTAATACTGGGGAGTAAATAAACACGATTTTAAACTGATAACACATTGCAAAATAGTTACATAACCCTAGTCAAGTTGCAAAGCATTTCTCTTATTAAGAGGTGGCCTGGGTAAACAAGATTAGTGAATGTTTCGGAAGCTTTCCCCGCCCCCCCCCCCCCCCCGCAGTGTGGGTGGGGCTGCTTTATTTTGTTTTTTTCAACAACAGTGACCAGAATGACAGTTTCTTGACCACATTTTATTACTTGATTCATATCAGCTGAAATCTGAACCAGAAAATGGTGTTTATTTGTGTAGAATCCTTGCTGATGAAGCATTTGATTTTGTTTATTATCCTTTGACATCCTGTGCCTGCAATTTTTAGATCTCCTTTTTGATGTTGAAAAATTGTCACATCTCTTCCAAGTTATTGATACAACATTTAATTACCTGGTTATTAAATTAGGAAAGGTGCTTTTTCCCTTCATTTTTTTCTTTTGCCTCTTTATAGAAAATGGAAGCAATCACAGATACATTGTGGACTTTTATAGCCTGTTGGGTTTTGGGAAATGTGGACTATGAATGGAGGGTCATGGGATGGAAATACACTGTGCTCAGTGAAAAGAAAGAAAATGTTTTTGGTGTGCCTGGGTAGTGTAGTTGGTTGAGCCTCGGACTCTTGCTGAGATCATGATCTCAGGGTCCTGGGATAAAGCCCCCAGAGACTCTGCCCTCAGTGGGAGTCTGCTTGAGATTTTCTCTCTTTCTCTCCCTTTGCCCCAGCCCCCACCTGCTAGCTGCATGCTTGGAAACTCTCTCTCTGAAATAAATAAATAAATCTTAAAAAAAGAAGGTAAATGCTTTTCAGGTCAGAATTCTTTGTTGCATTGTCAAACATTTCCTTAGAGCCATTTTAGGGATTAGAGACATACCTAATTCTTTGAGGTTTTTTTTTTGCTGGTTAAGATTTCCTATAGTTCTTACTAATTCTATTTTCACAAATGTCTGCAAAAGATTTTTGTAATCATTATTTAACTTTTCTCTCTAAGTTCCATTTAAGGTAATCTTCAGTGTTAATAATAATGCTTGATGATCATGTTAATTGTACATAGAGTGTGATTTAGAGAGTGTTGTTGGCCCTTAAGTATCTTGTAGGGGACCTGGTTCCTTTGCGTATATCTTAATGTGGTGCTGGATCAAAGGCAGAGTAAGATGTGGCTTATTTTCTACTCTTTAAGAGTTATGTTGAAGTAATAGGTCTAATGTGATAATGGCCTTTTGCCTGCATGAATTGATAATTTCCCATATTCTATTATTTTTCGTTACTTCTGCTTAAGCATTGGCAAGTAGAAGTGGTTGGTAGGTGGTCCATGAAGTATTAGGCTGTCTTTTTTGTCTATGAAATACTAACAGTTTTGAGGAACACTTTTTAAATTGCATGCATGATTCATAATGCAGGCTAAAGGCATTCATTGGGAAGAGATTAGGTATTTGACTTCCAATTTGGTATTCAAACCAGAGATATGAGTGAATTTGTAGGAATGTAGGTATTTCTTCCCTTGATTCTGGTAGTCTCATCTTACCTCTTTTTGTGCTAGTAGTTACCGCTTACTGTGGATGGTGAATGTGGCAGAAGGTTAAGGAAGGAACATTGTTTGGGTTTGTAAAGCTGATATTTAGGAAAAATTTTTATTGTTACATAATTTTCACTTATATAAATTATATTTTGAAAGGATTAGTTAACAATATTCTTACCCATTACCTTTACTTTTTTCAGATATTGGAAAAATAGGAATTTATGTGGTGTAAAATTATTATGTCAAGATACTTTATGGCAAAAACCTTTTTGAAAAGTATATTAGGGACACCTGGATAGCTCAGTTGATTAGGCGTCTGCCTTCTGCTCAGGTAATGATCCCAGAGTCCTGCTCAGCAGGGAGTCTGCTTCTCTTGCTTCTCTGCCTGCTGCTGATATTGTGCTCTCTCTCTGACAGCTAAATAAGTCTTTAAAAAAAGGGGGGGGGAAGTGTATTAAATATAATTTACTAATTCAACAATTGGAATACAATTAACATTTTGAAAAAGAACCTTGATCTGCATAGTATATCTGTGTAGATTTGTGGTGCCAACCTGAATCTTCTCTTCTTAAACATTAAGAAGTAGATAATTCTGCATTATTGGAACTCTAGTTTTCTTATTTTTATGATATAGTGGTCTCTAATTTTAGTTTTTTTGCATTATAGCCCTACCCCTCTACTCAAACAGTCCTCCAACAGATGAGAATACCGTGTTTCCTGGAAGTTTAATGAAAGTCTTTTGTGGTTCTCTGTGATAGAGGAATTTCTTCTAAGGAAATAACAGTAGGTTATTGGTAGCCAAGTGATGGCTCATCTTCAAAAACTAAATTGTTACAGTCAAGGAGACAAACCCTTTTCCTGGCTTATACTTAGGCCATGACATATTGTGGGTATTTCATTCCAAAACTATTTGAATCCTTGATAGTGGGAACTGTTTTTGGACATCTTCTTTTTTTTTTTTTTCCCATTAAGCTATTCACTTGAATATTTATGTATATATGTATGTGTTTGTGTATGTATGTATGTATGTAGGTAGGCTCCATGCCCAGCATGGAGCCCAATGTGGGGCTTGAACTCAAAACCTCATGATCAAGGGGCGCCTGGGTGGCTCAGTGGGTTGAGCCGCTGCCTTCGGCTCAGGTCATGATCCCAGGTCCTGGGTTCGAGCCCCACATCGGGCTTTCTGCTCAGCGGGGAGCCGCTTCCTCCTCTCTCTCTGCCTGCCTCTCTGCCTACTTGTGATTTCTCTCTGTCAAATAAATAAGTAAAATCTTTAAAAAAAACAAAAACAAAAACAAACAAACAAACAAACAAAAAACCTCATGATCAAGACCTGAGCTGAGATCTAAAGTCAGACACTTAACTGACTGAACCACCCAGGTGCCCCCACAATATTTATTTTAAAGGTTAAGTTCATGGTGGTACTGTCCTATGTGGGGGGTATAAAGCTGATTTTATGTATGTATTTATTTAATAACCTGTTTTTAAAAGATTTTTTCCCCTTTTTAAAAATTAATTATTTTGGGGGCGCCTGGGTGGCTCAGTGGGTTAAACTGCCTTCTGCTCAGGTCATGATCTCAGGGTCCTGGGATTGAGCCCCGCATCAGACTCTCTGCTCAATGGGGAGCCTGCTTCCCCACTTCTCTCTCTCTGCCTGCCTCTCTGCCTATTTGTGATCTCTGTCAAATAAATAAATAAAATCTTTTAAAGAATTAATTATTTTTATTGACATATAATTTATTATTTGCCCCAGCGGTACAGGTCTGTGAATTGTCCGGCTTACACATTTCACAGCACTCACCATATCCTATACCCTCCCCAATGTCTGTAACCCAATAAGATTTTATTTTTACGTAAT